TCTATTGGAGCTATAGTTTAAAAACGGGAATTATTTATTATTAACGCCCCCGCAATCCTCTTTGGGATAGGATATCGTAAAATTCGTTTATAAATTATTTTTACATCACGTACAGAAATTTCATATAAAATTCCGAATCTGTAGGAGTTATAGCTTGAAAATTAAAAATTTTCATTATTAATACCCACCCCCATAAGGGGTTGAGATATCGTAAAATTAGTTCATAGATTATTTCTACATCTCTTACAAAAGATTCCTACCAAATTTGGAGTCGATAGAAGGTATAGTTTAAAAATGGGAATTTTTCATTGTTAACGCCCCCGCAAACCCCTTTGGGGGAGGAATTTCCTAAAATCCGTTCTTAGCTGACCTCTACATGGTAAAAGTAATATCCCTGCCAAATTTCAAGTCTCTAGGTCTTATAGTTCCAGAGATATCGTGATGACTATCTATCTATATCTATAGAAAGTCTCCTATATATATATATATATATATATATATATATATATATATAGATATGATATATATATAAATATATGAAAAAATTGATGTGGGTACTCAAATGAAAGCTCTTGATGAGTGGAACATCGGGATGAGCTTATATCTTTAAAAATGTCAATATTTAAGAAAGTACAGTGTAATTTAACAAGTCATTTTTTTATTAAGGAATATTTTTATATATTTATAGTCTACTAGTTCAATATTAATTAGATTAATATTTTTTTTAAATAATAAAGTAATTAATAATAAATAAATAAATCTTGAATTGGGTGTCGAGCACAAACGATGGACAAAGTACAAGGCAGGTTGTCATCGATACTGGGTACACGTATAATAGACTAAAGTGGACACGATAGAGTGAATGTAGAATACGGATAATGGAGTGTATGGTGAATAGCACGTGAATGTCAAATGATATACACAAACTAGAGATACCTCTACCTATTTGATCTAATCAATTTGTTCTACTAATTAAATGACGGTGAAAGAACCCGTAAAACATAAAAGATAAATTAAATTTAAAATAGACGAACAATTTAGAGAGAATAGATTCATGGATAGAACAGGTCATTAGTATTAAAATCGTGACAACATTTCGTTAGCCGGGCCGCAGAAAAAAACATGAAAACGAAATCGAAAGAGATTAATGGGGCTTTGGTGGTTGATAAAAAAACGCGGTGGTTGAGGTTGACCTACATGAGGTAGAACACGAGTGATAACGCATGTGAGAGATAGCACACAAAGAGGGAGAGAGAGTACTCTGGTGAAAAATAAATTTAAAAATGTCCTAGAGCCCTACATACCAGGAGAACACGCCGGGATGGAAGCTCAATCCTCTGCTCAATGGATAGTGCCAATGTGAATGCCAATGTCTCTACAAAAACGATTCTATTGACTGCACGTGGCCCTGTTATATTATCTACGCGGTTATATTTATGTATTCTGAGTGCGAATTCATGCGTAAGAGAAGACTATGCGTGATTGGGTATTTTGAGAAGAAATTATCATTATTATCATCAAAAACTTCATTTGTTAATTTTGTATCTAAAGATAAAGTATTTTCAAATGCAGCTTAAATACTTATCATAATAAATTGACTATTGGTGAGAATCATATGAAATCTTGAAAAAGCACTAATTTAAGTCAAGACCTATCCAATGACACTAAATTTGACTAAAAAAACCGATTTTATGTCAATGAAGATTGACATTAAACTAGAAACAAACAGCCAATAAATATAAAGATTAGAAAGAAACATAAAGGGATTTTTGGGTAGCTAGAATTTCTTTGTTCGGAAGAATTAAAATCAGTATTATGCATGAGTACACGGAAGAATAAGTTTAGTTGTGCTAGGTTTAATTAAATCTTCTGTTGAATTTGCATATACCTCTGTTTGAATCATTCTGTGTGGATATATCTATGTATAGGTCGAGGTATATGTACAGAATTTGGTGCTCCCTTGAGTACAGAAATATACCAGAAGTACTGAAGTATCTACTGTAAAACCCTTTGTCGAGATTCAACATCATGCTTTTGTGTTGTGTTGTGTTTTCTGTGTTATTCTCAAGCATAAAAACCTTTTCAGGGTAATAATATATACCTACATTTAGCAACACAATGCCAATTAAGATCTCAATTACAAAGAACCGCGATAAAATGAATCTTCAGCTTAAATTGACACAATAAATCACAAATACTTCTTTTTTTAAAAAATTATATGCTCACATTTTAAATTTACTTTCTTTAAGGAGATCCACGTGAAGTAGTTAAATTTTCACTTCGTGAAAATTTGTAAAATCTACGTAGCCTAATTATTAGTAAAACAATTAAAAAAACAGTAGGTTTTCGGGATATTTAATCAAATAATTAGGTAAAATTGTAATTATTACAAGAAATAGAGATTCCACCAGCCGGTATTTGGTTAAGAATTTAATGCAATTAACGATTGAAAAAAAAATTTATTTTCATTGAATTTGATTAAAAAAATGATAAGCTTTCGATTAAAACAATAAAAAAAGTAGCTTTCCGAACGTATTACGGAGATATTTTAGATTTTTTATGAAAAATCACTCGGAACTTGCGTTCTTTAAAGTCTTGTATTTGACTTGGCAACACCGCTAGCGCAGTTACTCATGCGCATAAATAACCGCGGTTTTTTAAATGCTCGAAAATCTTAGTCATTTTAGTTAGACAGTAAACATAAATAAATTTGAAGGTTAGGGACACTCTTTTTGTGTTGTCAAGTGTATACCGGTAATTCAGAGTGCTATATTTTTTATTATTCAATAAAATATTAATAATTATTTAATGAGTAAGTTTATCGGAAATTTCCTCAACAAATGTTATTAATTAATTTAAAAATTAATTTTAAGAAAAAAGTATTTCTACGTATTATTTTTTTAGACATTCTTTACACTAGCAGGGTACTTAGATCTCCTTAAAGTTTGAAATTCCCGGCAAAATTCAAAAGTTTTGAATATCCCGCGGTTTAATATCTTCAATGGCGGCTTCAGTTCCAACAGCTGATTTCTCTCTCACCAGTTTTAAGAATTTTCCATCGATTATAATTAACTGGTACGGATTTAAACGATTATATTTTGCAGAATTATACAATTAAGTAGTATTAATTCAATAAAAAAAGTATTTTTATCTATTATTTTTTTTTGACATTCTTTACACTAAGAGGGTAATTGGATCTCCTTTAAATTAGATAAAAAATTAATTATTTTTTAATACTTACTTTATAACCATAAATTGTAGATTTAACAAGCACTTTTTTTTTTAATAAAATCACTTATTATTTACAAATTTAGAAAGCTGACTCTCATTTGCTCAAATTTTGTGTAAGCAAAATTTCTTTAAGGTTATTTAATTAAAATTATTTAATTATTCAACTTTTTAGACGCTAAAGCATTAAAAAAACTAAAAAAAAATAACCCAAGCCAGGAATCGAACCTAGATTTTCAAATAGTGTTTCGATGTTAGACTTGTCAGTGTACAGACTCAAAAGATCCGGGTTCTAATCCTGGCTTATTTTTTTTTTCTTTTCAGTACTTTGGCTTCTAAAAAATTAAATAAAAATTTTTTTAATATCTATAGGTAAGGTATTGACAATTATAACAAAAAAAACTTGAATTATATACATTTATTACTTGATTTTGTTTTTCAAATACAATTGTCTGTAATTGGACTCGGTCAAAAACTACAATCGGATATGTATTATGGGAAATAAGTGTATAAGTGTTGCCTGGATTTAATAATATGTTAATTTTTAAAATTTCCATTTAATTATTTTTAATTAAAATTACCTTTATTTAATTTTATCGATACCCAGTTCGGTAGTATCAGAATCTGGCTATCAGTACATTTATAAAGTAATACTTTTTAGGTAGTACAGTCTATAGACTTTACTTTATTTGAGAGTGAGAGTTTTAAAATTCGAGATGCGTGTTAACATTTTTAAAAATAATCAAATAAATAATTACCGACAATTTTATTGCACGCCCCAAATAATTCCCCTTAATCGTATGATAAACACAAAAATATACTATGAAACATAAATAATCACGCTCCTCACCCTCGGAGCTTACTATATATGTACACTTATTTACAATACATCAGTCTCACTCTCATGGAAAAATTTATTATTAATCTCTCGTAGTATAATCACATATTGCGCGTTCTCTGTTAAAAGATTTCCTATTATAATTAATAATTTATAATTTATTCGTTGATAATTTAGTACGACAACCAATAAGACTAGTTTTTTCACTCAAAAGCGGTTGGTGCGTAATTTTAGATGCCTACTAGATTTTAATAAAGAGTTAATGCCCAAGATTTAATCGCCAAGTTAAGGACAATTTTTAAAATCAGTTTAATTTTACAATAAGCACCAATAAATAATAAAATCACCTTTTACTTTTAGCAGAGCAGGTTCTAGGAGCTAAAATTTCCTTACTCGAAAAGAAAAATGTGGAAATCGTTCCTATTTTAATGAAATGTTTTCCTATACCATTTTAGGAGTGAATATGGGAATTCTACCCGAAATTTTGGGGAAATGGTTCTATAATTATGGAAATGGTTCCTATAATTAGAGGAACGATGCCTATAATAGGTGTAATATTATCGGCATGATTCCCATAATATAGGAATGGTTCCCATAATATATAGGAATAGTTTCTATATTATAGGAATGGTTTCCATAATTATAGGAATAAACGCTAGATATTATAGAAGCCATTCCGGTATATTATAGAAACCATTACTATATCATGGGAACCATTCCTATAATATTATAGGAATCCTTCCATAATATAGTGAAGACTATACAATATAGGAACCATCAATCCATTGAAGCTATTCCATTATTGTATAGGAACTTTTCCTATAAACTGGGTATGGTTCTCATGAGCATAGTATTGCTACCTATAATCAATTTATTATAAATTTCTCTCCTATAGAACCTGCCCTGTTCATTAATTAGCTAATAAATCGATAAATTAATAAGGTCTCCATACATTATTATCCGGCCTAACCTCTTCTTGCCTGACATTGCAGCTCTCAGCGACGGAAGTTTGCTCCGAGTTGTCACTGTTCTGAAACTGGTTCCCATAAATCTGGGAATAAAGTATACTAGGAAGCACCCCAGGAGTTGGAAAATAATTCCCATAATTCTGCCCAAACCCTTCTTCATGAACCGGACTGTCAGTGGTATTGGAATCAGTGGACAAGGATCTTGGAGATACATAGTCCTGGTACCGCTGAGTAGACCCAGACATCAGAGTGCTCAGAGGGTCCAGTGGATCAGTCTGACCAGGTGTCGTTGTATCCGGAACAACTGGAACCAAAAGAACAACAAGTTTAGCATAATCGTTGGGCGTCATTAGCATCGAATTCCCAAACTTACGTGACGAGACCGTTGAAAACGCGTCTTGCTGGGCCGTCCTGGAGCTGTTGGTGACAGTGGAGCCGGCTGTGGAGTCCGGAGCCGCTGGAGTCATGCTAGCACCCGAAAAAGTGGTCAGAGCAGTCGTGGGTGCTGGAGGAGGTGGTGGTGGTGGTGGAAACGGGGCCTGGGCCGCGCAAGATGACAATGGGCCTGGTAGGTATCCAGCGTATCCAGCTGTGCTTCCGTAGCCCCAAGAGTTTCCAGTGGTCAGGCCAAATTGCGACATGTCTAGAGAATATGATCGATCACTCTGAATAGGTTATTTTTCAAAGGGACTAGGGTGGATCAGAGGGAGATCAAAGGGTTGGATTTGGACCGGCCAAACCCTAAATGCTCGGATGCTTTTACCCTCCGCCTAGAATATCACCCAACTCTCTCTTCGTCCTTGTCTGTTCGACGGGTCTGCAAATTCCTGGCAATCCCCTAGGAGCTTGCTGATGTACTTTCGTCAGATACTTTTTAATTCCCTTCTTTTTTTTTCCCCGAAACTTTTATTCAGAGTTGCGCACGAATAATTCTAGGTGCTGGAGATAAAAAGGAAATATTGAAGAACCACCAAAGGATGGGTATTGGGTTGATAGCCGCAAAAAAATTAATAAATCGTGTAAATATAGGATGTTGGACGTGTATCGGAAAATCGTCACGGAATTCATTAGAGTGAATCATTTTTTTGTTATTTATTTACAAAACTTTTTACCGGGTTACTTTCCGAAGCTTATGGTCTTTGTTTTTTTAGTTTGAATATTTAGAGTCGAAATTTGGTTGGGGTAGCAGACGAAGCTGACTCAGCTTCTGGCCTTCTGGCAAGCCCTTTAATATAATATTTAATCTAGCTTTGAACAGGCTTGCGGTTACTGTCTGGGCAAAAAGCCTGCCAGAGCTACTAAAGAAGAGGACAGCGCTAAGCTCCGAGGGAAGTTTGACTGAGAGAACGCCAGTGTAAATAGAGATTAGGGAAAGGATTTTCACGAAATGATCAACTTTTGCTGGAGTTTCAAAGATTTTTTTGCGGGATATGTTTGTATTTATATTTGTATTAAATATAGTTAAATTATTGAAGTAATGTATGTACTTACTTTGACAATTCCCGGGCATTGCATGCCGGAATGATGACAGTGGATCGCGTGGCTGCAGTGGATTTGGTAGTGGTTGAAGTGGATTTGGTAGTGGCTGAAGTGAATCTACGAGTGGTGATGCAAAAAATGGTGTTCCTCTTTGGGATGCAAATGCAAACGCATGGAATTGCTGTTGGTGCCCTAAAAATGACAGCACTACCATCAATCGTAACCCTGTTCACGGGAAGTAGTTAAATTTTCACTTCGTGAAAATTTGTAAATTCTACGTAGCCTAATAATTAATAAAAGTATTTCTACGTATTATTTTTTTATAGACATTCTTTACACTAGGAGGGTATACTTGGATCTCCTTCTCTTTTTTTCAGCAAAATTACAATTTATTGATGAGTAAATCTTCGTTGGAAAATCAATTTGAATTGACGTTAAAGCTTTCCTTTGGGGTAGAAAGGTGCCTCGGGTGGATTTAACCGCGACTAGTAGGTGCCGATAGATTTTATTTCCCGTCGGCGACGTTCGAACCCAATTAAAGACGTCCCAGCAGGCATCCAACCGGCAACAAGAGTATCTCTGGTGTGTGTATGTGTGTGTGCTATTCTACCGTTCTCTTGGACACACAAAAGAGGTGGAAGCTAGCAGAGCAGGGTGAGCTTCAAATCAAGCGATATAGAATGAATTTCAGTCTATAGTCCGGAGAGGTGAACCCTACCTCTAATGCAAACGTTGAAGGCCACGTTGATGGAGAGCAACATTTCAAATTGAAGTTACCGTGCAATGGAGACTGGGACTGGAGATGTAGACAGACTGGTAAAAAGCTGACCGAGAGAGATCGGTGCGTAGCTCCGATAATCCAATCGAAGCCCTAATTCCTCTAACTCGCCAGCCTGAATTTCCCTATTTCAGTAGTTTGCTGAATAGGTACCCTACCCAGATGACACAATGCCAGACGTAGAATACCTATGGCTTTCACGACGACGGCTAACGAGATCCGGTTGGTTAAACGATCACCGATTGACTCACTGCAGAGCTACCATAATCACACTTTCCTTATTTACGTGATCCTCAGCCAACATGTCAATGAAATCCGCAGCTTGAATTACTTTTAAACCAAAAAAAAATCAATCTGCTAGTCCACCAAAGTAGTTATCGCTTTAATTTGTTCTTTTTTAACCAGGAAAAAAATTAACCCAAGACTTTTCTGTTCATTATCGATTTCATGGTATCAGCCAAGAGAATCAGCCAGCTGTCAACGACAGCTTCTCATTTTGCGACATATCCCCAAAGTTCCTTTACTGTAACAGTGTTTGTGTGAAGATATCAGTGTGGTGCTTTCAATTGCTCGCCGAATTGGAAGATACATTAGGTCTAACATTTCTCGGACTTGAAGACGACTATTTCTTCAGAGTTTCAGACAAAGACGAAGGCGACCCTCGATCAATTTCTAGAATACACGTGGTTTATTTCCTTGGAATAAGATCGAGGGTGAGAGACAAAAAGGAGAGCACCAAAGGGTTGAATGTGTAATGAATTGCTTGTTTAATTAATTACAACCCTTACGGACGCCCTTACGGAGCCGAACGGCAGCCCGGGCCACACTCATTTATCCTAGTGTCAAACCGCGTCCACGTAGCCATGCTGGTGTCTAATAGACACCATAGGAAATAGATTTGAGATCTGAGACACCGAAAAATGGCTTTGATGTCTGTTTTTACGACTTCAAAAGAGCTATTTATGGATTTACGATCTCTGGGTGGTCCAAGTTTGATGTCTGATGTCTGCTAAGGAACTATTAACGATATAAAAACAGCTCACAACTGTTGATACCCGAACCAGTCCACGGATAATGTGAGATACTAAGTTAGGTACAAACTAGACAACACATTCTGGGTTTTAGTGTGCAATAGTGGCAACTAAACGGCACCCACTACCCACTAGCACGTTCTGGGGTGAATAACTAACTTCTATGGGATAATTGTATGTCCCGAAAGGGTCCAACTGGGAACAGCGAACCAAGAAGTAGGCGTGGACTGCGCTAAGTTTGTCGTTATACAGTTATGTAGTTAAACATTTTAGGTGTACAATATCTTAGGTGTAACCCGCAGTCCTTCATCAACAGCATTATGCTTTAGAGGGCTTTCCCTTGGTGAGTCAACGGTTCTTAGTAAATTCAGAGCTGAACTCTATGAAACAAACCAGCAAGAAACTTGGATGGATGTTTAATTAAGCACATGCGAGTATTAGGTTATTCTGCAGAAAAAGAAAAATTTCTTGACGGAGAAGAACACTACTGGCTCAAAAAAATTTGTCGGGTGTCTGGAAGACCGAAGTTGTAAGCTAAAAATTTTTCTAATGGTTCCTGAAATTATAGGAACGATACCTATAATAGGTGAAATATTATCGGCATGATTCCCATTATATAGGAATGGTTCCAGAAATTTTTTCACTCTAGTGAAAGATCAATTTTCATTTACAAAAAAAAATTAATTAGCAAAAAAATATATAATAATTATATTTTTCAAAAAAGTTTTTCTTCTCAAGAAAATATTTTCTTAGTTCCTGTCTAAAGTTGGTAATATGATTATTTATTTAAAAGATGAAATAATGCTTACAGTGATACTCACTGGTCTTGGATCTGGGCTCACGGGGGCCGTCAACCGTCACCTTGATAGCCTTGGTGTAAGTCGCTACCTGCGGCGGCGACGTTGATACTGTTATCGTCAGCGTGAAGCTCTTTCCTGAAAACAGTGATCGTGATGGTGATGATTAGTGTTCAATCAGGTTTGTTGGTTCATTGGGGCGAAAAGTGGATGGAAGCGAAAATGAAGGGTGGTTGGGTGGTTAGGGGCCTAGTAGGGTATTGTTAAAATATTCAATATATTTACAGAGTTTGATAACGGGGAGTTGATTCTGTGAAGCTTTCTCTTCTCCATTAAGCTTTTCTGGTAAATATGCACCGCCGGTATTGTCACCAAAAGTTTGCAAACCCGGTTATCTACCGGAACTCAGGCTAACCAAATTAAGCCGCAGTAATGTATCGAAAGGACAATATGGTGAGGGTAAAATGCAATGACACTGAACAGAGGGCTGAATTACGGAAAAAGTTCAGAAAATTAAGGCGAACTTTCGCAGAAAAAGCGGAAGGTGGAAGACTGGCACCAAGGGTGATACAAGAGGTTGCGTGAGCTGTCAGGAGCGTTGATCATCGCGTGGCGAACCAGTTTGTGGCCACTTTCGACACTTTCCTGCTTGTGCTCTTCATCAGCTGTCTTGGAAGGTTCTCCCGCACGTAATGATTTTGTTGAAATAACTAGCTAAAATATTTTCCAAATTTATCTGTTATTTCTAATAAATTTATTTGTTATTCCAACAAATTCTCATTGTTATTATAACCCAATTCATCTATTACCACACCATATCTTAGATTATCTTTTTTTCTGCATGCGGCAGAAAGATCAATCCCGGATTTGGAATTCTCTGGAACGAGTGATAAACTTGGAGCTTCCGTCATTTGTCAGGGATTAAGTCTCAATTGTTTTCGGCAAACGTGGAATTAACATAAGCTTGGATGAAGGATGTAAGCAGCTGGGTGATGTCTATTTTATAAGTATAAGACTTCTACTTGATTATTCCGAAGGTCCTTACACAGCTGAAGATCCTTTAATACTCCAGTATCTCATCATTGTAATTCATTTTGATTTATTTGCACTACTAGATACAAGATTTGAATATGCATAATATTGCTAAATAGTTTGTCAGTGATGCGGCTTCTTGTAATACAATGAAAAATACCAAAGGAATATTATTCCGAAAACGAAAAGCATAGTTAAGCTAATAATCTTAATTGAAACTCTCTCTGGTAAAACCTCAATTAATATCAGCGCCCTTGTCTGGGCTCGCTGGCTGATGCCAGCTTAATACCTACAACTAACCCTCCTTAGAAACGCACGGGTAATAGCAAAGAGTGGTAAGACTAGTCAGTCTAGAAGGAGCACAAGTTGACGATAAGTAAAAGGGGAAAAGGAACCAACAAGTTGAGACAGATAAAACCCATTACTCATCCTCTTGGCGAACCGAAGAATAAAACACCCAATTGAAAAGCTTACCAAGAAATCACCGTTTCTTTTTCAAGGAAGGGCTAGAAAAAATACAAGGGTCTTTTGCTTGAGACATCCATGACCTACCGTTACGCTAAATTCTTACGGACCCTCTTTTCTTACCCTTGGTTTTCTTCCCTCTTTCTTGAGGTCGCTAGCCCAAAGCTACTACGGTGGATTCTGTCAACTGAGGGTCGCAGCAAACTTTTCCATGAATGAAATTTTAGCGACACACTTAAGAACTTTTCAATGAATTTATAATCACGTCATTCAGTACCGCTACTCCTACAACTGGTACTACGACTACTACCACAAGGAAAAAACATCAGTACATTTATAAAATAATACTTTTTCGGTAGTACAGTCTATAGATTTTACTTTATTTGAGAGTGAGAGTTTCAAAATTTGAGATGCGTCTTGACATTTTTAAAAATAATCAAATAAATAATTACCGACAATTTTATTGCATGCCCCAAATAATCCCCCTTAATCGTATGATAAACACAAAATTATACTATGAATTATAACCACGCTCCTCAAACTCGGAGCTTACTATATATGTACACTTATTTACAATACATCAGTCTCACTCTCATGGAAAAATTTATTATTAATCTCTCGTAGTATAATCACATATTGCGCGTTCTCTGATAAAAGATTCCCTATTATAATTAATAATTTATAATTTATTCGTTGATAATTTAGTACGACAACCAATAAGACTAGTTTTTTCACTCAAAAGCGGTTGGTGCGTAATTTTAGATGCCTACTAGATTTTAATAAAGAGGTAATGCCCAAGATTTAATCGCCAAGTTAAGGACAATTTTTAAAATCAGTTTAATTTTACAATAAGCACCAATAAATAATAAAATCACCTTATACTTTTAGCAGAGCAGGTTCTAGGAGCTAAAATTTCCTCACACGGAAAGAAAAATGTAGAAATCGTTCCTATTTTAATGAAATATTTTTCTATAACATTTTAGGAGTGATTATGGGAATTCTACCCGAAATTTTGGGGAAATGTTTCTATAATTAGGGGAATGGTTCCTGAAATTATAGGAACGATACCTATAATAGGTGTAATATTATCGGCATGATTCCCATTATATAGGAATGGTTCCCATAATATATAGGAATAGTTTCTATATTATAGGAATGGTTTCCATAATTATAGGAATAAACCCTAGATATTATAGAAGCCATACAATATAGGAACCATCGACCCATTGAAGCTATTCCATTGTTGTATAGGAACTTTTCCTATAAACTAGGTATGATTCTCATGAGCATAGGATTGCTACCTATAATCATTTTATTATAGGAACCATTCCCATTATTCTTTCGAAAAATCCCTATAAATTTCTCTTACTACTGGTGCTACTGAAGAATTTAGCGGTAGAATAATTAAACTAGACTCACCTCTGCCACTGCGGCCGACGAACCTCAAATCGTTGAATTTAGCGACTTGGTTTTTCATCAAGGCCGTTGAATTTCTGAGCTCAGCGCAGCAATTTTCGTCATTGCCCGCCCGGACTGTCACCAGCGTGCCATCGCCAACTTCCCCTAATGCCACAACCTTGAATGCCACTGGAAGTGTCTTATTGGAACGCCAGTGAGCCGGTAGAACCGTGCAAACCAGATGCGGCGATCCTGCAATCAAATTCCGCAGACATCAAACTCAAATCTTCCTCCTGGATAATCCATCGATAGCCAATAGAATAAAACTTACCTGTCTTGACAAGTTCCCCCGGGTGTTCGCTTACAAAATCTCCCAGCGTCCTTTCCGTGAGGATATCCGTAGTCATTTTAGTATACGCATCTGCTAACGGCGACACCCCTGATTCTGGGGAAGCTGCTGTTCCTGGAGCTGACGCTCCGGTAAGCTGCATTCTTGACGTACTTCCAGGCCCTTCTGCTGATTCACTTGCACTAACACCACCCGAAGAGTCAGCAACTGATGCTACTGATGACGAAGGAACGACAGTACCCGATCTAATAGACGTAGTCCCAGTTACTGTGGTACCACCACTTCCTGGACCGTTACAACGGCCGAATATATCCATAGGCAGTCAAAACATTGGGTTAGAGCGGCATCTTTTTCCAATCTAACCGCGACATCTCAAGTTCCGACGGTCTAAGAAGTTCTAACGCTTTGTTTTTTTTTTGTAAAACTATTATTTAACGCAGAAGCTTGTTCTTTATCTTGTGACGAGTGTCGAGAATCTTAAGCCTTTTCTCAATAGACATCATTTGCATCTGAAACAAGTGATGGAACCTATTAGAAAGGCTTTCTTTGCTAATTAGTGCCTCAACACTACTTGCGACCCATTCCTTTGTTTTCCGACGACTCCTATCACTACAATACCTTTCTATAATTTTTATTTCAAGTCTCTAGAAGCTACAATATTCAAGAACCCCAAGAAAAACTCCAAAAAACTAACCAAAAGCATCCCTATCATCTAATTCGCAAATTAACAGGTTTCAATTGCTTGAAACCCATTCATTAGCTTTCCTACGGCTACTATCTTCAAAATTTATCCTTCCCTTTGCTACTTAGAGTCTTCAAAAGCTACAAAATCCAGCAACATCTGTAAAAACTTCAAACAACCCACCAAAAGCATCTTTATCAACAAATTCCTAAACTAGCAGCTTATAACTGCTTGGAACCCATTCATTCGCTTTCCTACGGCCCTTATCTTTACAATTTCTCTTTCTCTTCACTAAATAGAGTCTCTAGAAGCTACAAAATCCAGGAATCCTCAGGAAAACTCCAAAAAACCTACCAAAAGCATCCCTAATATCAAATTCGCAAACTTAGGACTTCCAATTGCTTGGAACCCATTCATTTCTTTTCCGACGACTTCTATCACTACAATACTGGGTTACAATTCCTATTTCAAGTATCTAGAAGCTACAAAATCCAGGAATCCTCAGAAGAACTCCAAACAACCCACCAAAAGCATCTTTGACACCAAATTCCTAAACTAGCAGCCTATAACTGCCTATAACTGCTTGGAACCCATTCATTAGCTTACCTCCGGCTTGTATCTTCAAAATTAACTCTTTCCCTTGCTACTTAGACTCTTCAGAAGCTACAAAATCCAGCAACCTCCAGAAAACCTTTAAACAACCTACCAAAATCATCTTTAACACCAAATTCCTAAACTATCAGCTTCTAACTACTTGGAACCCATTCATTCGCTTTCCTACAGTCCTTATCTTCACAATTTTCATTTTTGTCCACTAAGTAGACTCTTTAGAAGCTACAAAATCCAGCAACCCCCGAAAAAACTCTAAAAAACTCCCCAAAAGCATCCCTAATACCAAATTCGCAACCTAACTGATTCCAATAGCTTGGAACCCATTCATTAGCTTACCTACTGCTTTTATCTCTAAAATTAACTTTTTTCCTTGCTAGTTAAAGTCTTCAGAAGCTACAAAATCCAGCAAACCCTATAAAACCTTCAAACAACCCACCAAAAGCATCTTTAACACTAAATTCCTTAACTAGCAGCTTATTATCATTAGCTACCCTATTTCAAAATTCTAATCTTCTACTTATTTCAACTCTCTTATTACAATTCTAAGCTCACTAATTACCCAGCAGTCAATCCCAAAGCTTTGATGTACTAAGGCTCGGAATAAAATTGTTTACATTAAAATCCCGCGCAATTTTTCAATCCCGGCGGCGCGTGGGGTTCATTCAGTTATTTTTGCGTACGTCACTCTGTGTATATGACAGGATTTTGAGGGGTGAATTGGTGAAAGTATAAAAAAAAAGAGAACGGGATAAAACTCTGTAGAACGAGTTAACAGTGATAGTAGGGGAGCGTATGTGCATGATACGAGATCGACGTGCTCGTGCTGATGATGGTGGGGGATGAAAAAAACAGGGGAAAAGAACGTCGATTCAAATCCCCTTTATATACTACGCACGATTACCGCGTGTCAAACTACACGTGGTACCTCCACGTTTTTAAAACCAATTTAAAATCACTCTTAGGTAATTCAACAATAAGTTACCCAGTTTTTCTGCAAAGAACATCAACGAAAAGTAAGTGATGAAGAAAACAAATTGCCGTCGGAAGCTATCGCTTGCGTCGCATTCAAGTCTCTTTCTTACTAAATTCTTTCCACCCTTCTTAGCAACTTTCTACTTTCTTCATTGCTTTCTTTCTACCTACCCTAACCACATTAATTAATAAAAACTCTTACTTGGTAATCACTCACAAATGATCAGCATCATTAAATCATAAAAACGGATCACGGATCACAACACTTAGCACTTTTTTGCAGAATTGACAGTCACTAGACTTAATATTGATATTGTTTGCGATTGATGATGCGGACCGGTTGGATAATCGAGACAGTGTCCGTTCGCGGTGCCTTGAGGGCTACTAACAATTATCGTCAGGGCGGTACGTGTGAGGCAACAGCCGTTGACGCACTGGTCCATGCCAACACACGCAGCATCCCCTTCTAGAATCATCATCCTCAGCCTCCTCCTCTTACACCCCTCCACGACCGCATACTCTGCCCCCACCAGCTCTTGTTGAGTCGACTCTCTTCTATTCTACGCTTCCTCTTCCTCTTGCCTATTCAATCCTTTCTCTCTGTAGCCTCAACCTCTTCTTTTGTTACTCTTCATGGGTTTTCTATTCTATTATCGTCTGACCGACAAATTCGTTGAGGATTTTTAAGCAAACTTGAGGATTGTAATGATGATGACTTGTGCTATAAATAAATAAAATAATGACTTTCGTTAAATTGAACTGTACTTTTTTAAAGATATAAGTTCATCTTGATGTTAGAATCGTCAAGAGCTTTCATTTGAGTACTCACATGCATTTTTGATATATTTTTCATATATACATATATATATAATATATATATAAATATATAAAAAATTGATGTGGGTACTCAAATGAAAGCTCTTGATAAGACAGATGAAAGCTCTAGATAACATCGGGATGAGCTTATTTCTTAAAAATGTCAATATTTCATAAGTTAAAAGATCATTTCGTAATTATATGTCAAGGTTGCTAGTTTTTTATTATTTTTAAAATAATTTTTTTCTCAAAAACCGATCAATTGATTGATCCCGAAAAATAAATACCAAAACAGATAGTTAAAGTAAAACGATGAGTATCCTCGTGGACGTCGTGAGTGTGTTGATCAGAGCGTGACGAGCGGTAATTGAATGTAGGTACGGCATTTGCATTGACAAGCTCGCAACAGAGATAATTCGAATCTCGTCGACGAATACTCGCACCGTCCACACGAACGCGATAGATCGTTTGTCAATATACGACTACATTCACTCCTCCTCATCTGGCTCTTCTTCTCACCCCTAAACCCCACACCCCTTCTTCTCCGCGGGAACACAAATATATTCTCTATTCAGAGAATGATCCACACCCTCCAATTCGCCATCTACTTCCTATACTTGTCATCCCCAACATTTCCCCACTCATTTCTACTGTTTACATTGATAATTTCTGGATGATGATGATGATGGTGATCATCATCATCATCGTCATCTATATTATATATGATAAAATAGCCTTTTATCGTGTGGAATATTGGCATTTTTAAAGATATAAGCTCATCCCGATGTTACACTCATCAAGAGCTTTCATTTGAGTACCCACATGCATTTTTGATATATTTTTCATATATACATATATATAATATATATAAATATATGAAAAGTTGATGTGGGTACTCAAATGAAAGGTCTTGATGAGTGTAACATCGGAATGAGTTTATATCTTTAAAAAAGTCAGTAGTTCACGAGATACAAGCTCATTTCTTAATTATGTATCTAGAGTACTCAAAATTTTGCTTATGCTCTTAATAATATAGATTATTTCAAAAAATCGATTGTTTTTTAACCCTTGAGAAAAAATTCTAACCGCAAAAAAATTCCCCTGAGATATAGAAAAAAACAAGCATTAAAAAATAAAAACACTAAAAACAATTCTATCACCCAGAACACCACCAGAATTCAGTTTGCCCGACAAACCGTGCGCACAAATACCGCGAAAGAATTAAAAAGTTAAAACGCGGAGAAAGTATACCCACGAGCTTTTACCAGCTCACATTTTTTGGCCACCTCATGCCCAATACAACAATATAACAGTGTAGTAATCTATCTATCTCTATATAGAGAACCTCTGAGTGTATAACTAAAGCCCTCTCCACCATTTTCCCTCTTGAGATCCATCCTCGACCCGCCCTACACTCCCTACTACTCCCTACTCCAATCCCAAGGTCGACAAACGGGGGCGAACATGTGTAACATCCAGCCTTGATTACGCGCGCTTGTAAAAATTATTACCCACGAGATTTTCCCTTTTTTCAACCTCCCACTCTACTAACAATTCTGGACAAGTAACAGCGGTACCCTGTCGCCAGTATCCTCAACTAAAACATCAGTTCTATAAAACTTCAATTTTTCGGTAATTTTTTCCGACTATCATCCGTCGGTAAAGCATGGAACTTTTTTTTTATCCTACGAGCAATTTTTTATTTCACCTATGCGTAGGTAGGGCAGGGGATTCAATATATATTGAATTAATTTTCAAATAAAATTAAACTGACTAGACTTAATTGCCACTTGAAAGTTGTCATTGGTGGTCTGAACCGTGAAATTCCTAATTGATTACCAAGTAATTTGATTATGTCAATCCGTAATATGGTTGTTACGTCACTAATTTTATTGATTAGGCATGAAACAAAAAATTTTTTATGCGTTTTAAACACTATTATAGTCAAAAAATCCGAAAAATCGCATTAAAAGGGTGAGTTTAAGGGCGGTGACTCTTCCGAGGACCACCCCCTTGCGCATTCTCATTCTTAAGATTAAAACCTTTAATCCTATAAAAAAAGTTTGGAATTTTTAGCAAAAACTGCTGAAAAAAACCCTAATTTTTGCGAATTTTCGCTTAAGTAACAAAGAAACTACCGTCTGGTTTAAAGTTATCAAAAAAATTTCTGCCAAATTTTTTTGGGGGTGCAAAAAAAGGCTTAAAAACGAGCGGACTGCTATTTGGTACAAAAT